ACACAAATCGCATCCAAATGCATATCACACAAGTAGAATCTTAGATGAAGAGATTGCTAAATCTAGACGCTTAAAAGATTATACAAGTAATGATAATTCGTTAAATAATCTTGATTTTTAGCTCTTTTCTCTAAAAATGTTAAAGGTGAATTATTATAATTAATTGGAAATTACTACTTGTTAATTATTACTAACAATATTAATTAATTAAACATTAGATTCTAGTAGTAATAGAAGAAAGAATTGATGAATGACTAATTTAATCTCCATAATAAATTTATTCATTATAACTAAATTATAATAATATTTTGAAATAATAAAATTTTTACAGTTTTTTTGATTCTTGTTAAATGGTGATGCCACAAGGTATCATCTTGGTTAATTAACAATTATTGCTTAACTTTTGGGCTACTCTTGTCAGTTAATTGCAAGCAACTCACAATAATTCAGTGCCTTTCAATTAATTAGTTTACAAACTTACTTACTGTCTCTTTCTTGCACCTAGATAAATTTGTAAGCACATTTCATGGTATCAGATAACTGTAAATAAAAATGATTTATTTCAGTTGTTTACATTTATTGGCTGATCGTAAGATCCCATCAATGTACAAAATTGAATTTGGATAAGATCATTTTTGGTTTTAGTTTAAAATCTGGTGAACATAATCGTCTAATTCAACATACAATACATATCCCCCTTCTTTGGTCCTCAAAAATTCCCTCCAGATATGCAATTTTCAATTCATTGTTAGGCATACAGTTGTACATTGCCTTTTGTCTTGAGGACAAACTCTTAAGCAGCTTTTTTAATTCTTTTGACAAAACTGGTTCATCGCCTTGATTGTTTTGTCCTATGTCAGTACTTTGTTCTCCAATATTATCTAAAATGAAAATGCCAATTGTTAATAGACTTGATTAGCTAGTTGTTAACACACTTGACCCTACAAGCCTCGATTTGAGGAGGAAGACATTGTATTTCAAAGGAAGAAATTGTAACCCTTATTATTAAAAATAATCAAGCGCTTGCACTTTTAATCTTGAGTTGCATAATTATTTAATTAACAATATTTCTTTAAACTGTCTTTATTATTGCTTGTTAGTTTGTATTTGTGTTGGACAAACAAAAGTAAATATTAATGAGTATTAGTAATATCAAATGTGTGGAGGATGGAAATACTCTCTGTTTGGCGATATCAGAGATGAGAGGTTTTTTTATTGAATAAGTCAATAGATAATAATATTTAATAATATTAATCACGGGAATTTTTTGTCGCATTTTTTGTCGATCAATATTTATCACATTTGAAATTTGTCACCGAAAATATGTTATTCTCTAAAATCTATTTTTAAGAACCAGTTTTAATCACCTTTTCAAAATCAGAATCGGTTTTAAACCGAATATAATAAAACCGGTTATAAATAAAACCGCAAAACCGGGTTTAATCGGGCAACCGGTTTTAATTTTGTGGGGAATATATTAAATGAAAGCAAAAGTTATTTAATTATTTGTTTTCCAAGTCAAAACTTGTTGCTTATATACATGTCTATTAAATATA